CGTCGGTGGTCATCATGGCGGTGCAATGACAAACAATGCCCCAAACAAGACTGTGACCAAAAGGCCGACCAGCATTACAAGTGCGGCCTTAAATCACCGCTTCAATCCTTCTTGGAGGATGGACTGCAAGGCTTCCTTCCTCATACATACAACAAGGCCGATTGCAACATGACTTGTTCCCTTCCAACCACTTCGGTAAGCCGTGTCTCACGCCGATGGGTTTCGGAGACATTTCCACAGTGGCATCTCATACAATGAGAGGCCAGCATCTAATGAAAGTGTTGTCTAGATTTTGTAGTAAATCGGATAGGCCTCTTGCCAAGCTATGCAGTTATCTGACATGTTTACTGCAGAGACCGCCTCAAACACTCGACGAAATGCTTGCGTTCTATCACAGTCTTCTCAACGGGTGGGAAGGCAGTGGTGAACACAGGCAAGAGGCCTTTCAAGCAGCTGTTGAAAACGCTTATTTCTGCCGCCAGTACAATAAGTTTAACCCTAAATTCATATGCGACAGCGCTACGCATAAGGCTGACAACCATCCACATGGCGATATTTCTTCGATAATAAATTGCAATGAGAAATCATCGCCAGTCTCTCCCTGCGGTTCATACATACACCCCCTTAGCTATAATACGCGCTGCATATATTCTAAGGAACACGCTGAAAAATACCTCTCATGGATTGTCTACCTGACCGAGACATTCTATGATTACCTCTGTAGGCTATTGTCGAAATGTGAAGAAAATTGCGGTACGAATGAATCAAAGTGCCGTATTGAAGGGTGCGCAAATGACTGCCAAATGTTGAAATCGTCGACGCACTCGTCATCTTGCCGGTCAATAATTCAATGCCCTCACACCCTTCCTGCATTTTACACAGAAGGGATAGTATTTGGCAATGGTACGAAAATCGGAGGTCGACTCGGAAAGCATTTGAAACGAACATGTGGAGATTTCATCGAGCAACTGAAAAAAGTATGCGGCGGCAAATCACTAATCGCCAAGTTAATACATGAAACAATACCCGAATATATATGGACTATACGACAACCCTTCTCCTACCTCTTATTATCCCTCTGGTCCCTCTCTTTGCTCTACCTGCTGCACATCGCCGTCGTCCGCCTCGACGTCCTGAGGATACGCTCCCACCTGAGATCACCCTCAAGCCACCGCATCGCCGCGCAGTCCCTCCTCGCCGCCGCACGCGTTGGGAAAATAGCCAACGTCAAGTACTTCTCACCATAATCGTGCCTTCACGTGTGATCTGTGTATCACCCACTCACCCACTCACCCACTCACACACTCACCCACACACTCACCCACACACTCAACTCACCCACTCACCCACTCAACCACTCACCCACTCAACCACCCACTCACTCAACTACTCACTCACCCACTCAACCACCCACTCACTCAACTACTCACTCAACTACTCACCCACCCACTCACCTAATCACCCACTCACCCACTCACCCACTCACTCAACCACTCACTCAACCACCCACCCACTCACCACCTCCTTCACTGGTCGCTTCGCTCCCTCCCTCACCCCCTTCATCACCTCCTCCGTCGGCGTCCCTCACCCAAAATCCTCATTTTCCACCTTCCCCCTCCACCTCCGAAATCGCCTTACCTCAACCCATCTTCCCCCTTCATCGCCCTCTTTCGCCCCTTCACTTCCATCACCCTGTCCACCCACCTCCCTCACTGCCTCCGTCACCTAAAATCGCCTTTCTCCAAACTCCCCCAAATCGCCCTCAAAATAATCCATTTCATCCCCTTTTTACTCCTTTTAACTCTCCCTTAATCCACCTTCAATCCAACTACAATGACCATTACAATGAAGTTCATTACCTTACTGATGATGCCAGGGGGAAAGCCTTGAAGGATATTGATACCCGCCGCATCTCTCTTGGTAAGCTTGCCGGACAGCTTTCGGGTTTTATTGGTGGGAGTGGAGAAGTTAAAGATGCACTTGTAAATGGTTTGCAAAGTAATGTAAATCAGCTTGAAAAGCTTTTAAAAACATCTTGCGGAGGTGAGGGGTGTTGTAAGGATGCTGGTGAGGCAATTAATAACCTTAATGAATTCAATGAGAAGCTTAAAAAACACCTTAAAGATGAAACAAAAACCTCTAAAAAACTTGTTGACATCCTTTCTGCGTGCAATTTAAATGTCCATGATGATCCCTTCAATAAGCTTCAAGAGCCAATTAACCAAAAAATTCAGGAGCTTAATCAAAGAATTGAAGAGCTTAAAAGGCTTAATAATGATGATAATAAAAGTAAAAATGCCTCTGAAATTGACAAGCTTAATAAGGATCTTCAGTCTCATAATGCTTCCAAGAAGTCTCTTGAGACACTGAAAGGGCTTTGTGAATATGCTGAGAAAATTCCAAAAAATAATGTTACCGATCAAAGTTGTAAAAAACTTTTAGAGAGTCTTTGCACAGGCCTCGAAAAATTTCTCGGCTACCAGGATGGTAATTACACCGGAGAGGGCATCGTGTACTCGGACCTTGACAGGCTCTGCGACGGGGTGATGGCGTTCTTGCACGGGGTGTTGGAGAGTGTAAAAGATGATGATAACGTTACAACTTATGATAATAATGATCCTAAAATTAATGATGTTATTAACACTCTTAACACTTCTGTAGGTAAAGGCCGTAAGGCCTTCCAGGCCGCCGTGTCTGAGGTAAGTGGGTGGTTGAAAAAACATGCGGTGCAGGTGGAGACATTGACTGGAAGAGTTACTGCGGAATTAGGTAAGTTAATTACTAAATTATCATCTGGTGCAGGTGGAAATGAAAATGCGTTTTATCAAGCCGTGGAGAGGGAAGCCGAGCAGCCACTTGCCCAGCAACTGGCGGCGTGGAGGGGGACACTTAGTAGCATTTCTAGCGCACTTAGAGACAGTGTACAAATAGAAATTGATAAATTAGATAGCGCACTTAGAGGTAGAATAGAAGTAGAAATGAAGCCCGTTAGCACGGCAGTTAAGATGTTGACTGATTCTGCCAATGATGAGGTCTTCAGGCTGCAGGTTACAGGCGTGGATCAGATGCTGGTTGAACAGCGGGAACGCTGTGAGAAGAGCATAATAGAGGAATGTGAAGTGCTTCAAATGTGGCTAGATGATGGATTCGGAAAGATCTGGAAAGGTATTACCAGAATGAACGATAAGAGGAATGAGCAGTTTGCCCATATTAGGAATGCAGTGAATCCCGCGAAGCTGCATATAAATAATTTATTAGCGAAGTTTGACGGAACGTATAAGTATGAGATCGGCAATCGACTTAACGAAATAGCGTCTAAACTTAGAGATGTTAATAAAGATGAGTATGCAGTTGGCGCGAAAGATGGCAAGTCGCGACTTAACCAGGAAGTTAATTCACTGACCAATAAGGTTATTGAGTTGGAACGTGTATATCATGCGGAGTTGAAAAATATTAAAGCAAAGGTGGATGGATTGGTTGATTTAACTAAGACGCAAGTGAATAAATTTACTGACAAGATTAAAGAAGACTTGAAGAAACTCAGGGATACGACAGTTAATGATGCGATTCAAGGTTTATTTTCGAAGTTAAAGACTGACGTTGAGACAATCGGACAGGCTTCATCGGCAAGTGGTGGTGCAAATGACCGTCTAAATAACGTTAAGATTGAATCCCTCAAAAAGTTGGCTCAAGCTGCCCAGCAAAAAACGCTACAATTCGAGGACACCGACCAATTCACAACACCCATGGATCTCGATAATTTGAAGGAATGTTTCAAAGCAATGGAAGCTAAATTTACTATTACAGGTAGTCCGAATAACAGCGCTGCAACGTTTGCCGATACGATTATATCCGGCATTAACGACTCGGTGAGAGAAGCCTTGAAGGATATTGACGGTGAGAAAAGTACGACGTTTGGAACGCACATGAAAAATTACGTAGACCACAAATTATTTCAAGTTAATAACAAATGGTCTCATATTAAACAAGCCTTTGGCGAAACGCTAAAGGCGTTCGATACAGGTGGCTATCAGGTAGTAACCTCTGCGATTAATGGCTACGCCGTGGCCAATAAAGCCATTATGGACGTCATAAAGTCTGCTCTTGACATAATAACGACGCTTGAAAAGACTCCGCAATTTGCTGTGGAAAAGAAGGCAGACATAGATGAACTCATGGTGAAATTGAAAAATGACATTGAAGGTGTTCGCGATCGGATTAATTACATTGATCAAATAGTTAAGGAAACCGCTGATGCATTGACAATGGTCATCAGTGAACTAGTTAACGCGTACAATGAAGCTCGTAAAAACGCCCGCAATGCGCTATCCAACCTCCAAAAAAAGCTCCTTGATGAAGTAAAAAAAGCCTTCGAAAAAGTCACCACCGAAATCCAAAAACTTTTCTGCAAACAACATGAAGCGGACATAACAGCCCTGCACAAATTAGTAACCGAGCAAAAATCCGCCATTGGGAATATCATGGATATCGACTCGGCAAACGGCGTTAAAGGTTTGCTTGCAAGGTTGAAAATTAACCATGAAACACTTTATCAGATCCCCGTTCAAAACGACACGAAAGAGGCGGCGAAATATGTAAAGCATTATTGTGATCCACTTATGAAGTACATCAAAGATCAATCCATGACTCCAGTCCCACCTTCAGGTAAGGAGGAAAACGACATGTCCTATGCAGTCAACAAAATCCACGACCATCTCACCACATTACTCACCCACCTGACAAATAACGACAACCGTAAATATAGTTTCGACCATGACTTCATAAAATTACATGATTCAATTACCAACGCACTTAACCATTTCGCCCCTTCCAAGCTCTCTGGCATTTTCAACGCTCAGTTGATTGACGCCTTGAGAGCCGGGTTGACAGATTTCTGCTCACAACTTGGCCATGCGTATGTTAACGAATATTCGGGGCTGACCGTTGATTGGACGAAGACAATTAATAATAAACCTGAGTTGACTGATGATGCCGACCGTTGCGCTATGCTTTTTCTCACCTGCTTGTCAACTTTGTTTGAAAACCTTAGTACGCTGATAAATCATTGCGGGAATGCGTGCATATCTGATCAAATTGATTCGAATACAAAACTCGGCAAATGGTTCCATAAGTGTGGCTTCCGTGTTTCCACGGGTGACGCAAATCGGGACGGTGAGTTGAGGAATAATGCCGAATGCAAGGGGCGTCACATCATACCTCTCATCACTGACGGTAAGGTCTTCAACAAATATTATGCCGGAACTTTAAAAAACATTTATACTTACTTACAGACCTATTTACGTGTCTGCCATCTCACTATCCGCCCCAAGCCCAAATCACCGTGTAATGTCTACGAAATGCTGTGTTGGTTCACTGGCCTCACTCACAATGCAATATACCAGCAGTTGTCATTCGACGCTTTCAGTGACTTGTTTGATAAGCCGGAAAATGCAGGAGACAATAGCCATGTGGTAGACGGTATATCATTTGAATACCAAACTGCGAAATCGTTGCAGGCGTATCCACAAACTATCACTGCTGCAAAACTGACGGACGCACTTACGGAAGTATGCCACTACGCCGAAGAAATGTTGATCACTGTGCTCGGCACTGGTGACGCATTGACCACCTACGCCGTTGAATTTTCAAACAACTCACATAACTTGTATTATCCTTCTAGGAGTGAGGAGTGTCTTCACATGGTGATATACATTCTTCGAAAGTTGTTGCAACCACTGAGATTTTTGAAAAAGCAGTGCAACCTGGAGACTAAATATTACGGTTGGCTGCAGTGTAGTTACGGCAGTGGCGTTCAGACAGCGTGTTGGCAGTGCGGCCAACATTCCAGTATTTATCCACCATCCGACCACGCATGTTCCGGTACATCGCCTCTTCACCTGTACCTAACTGACAGCCTAAGAGGCATGTTGCCTCATCAACTAACCAGTGTGGGATGTAAATCATCGTGCAACACGTGTAGTAAAGGGCAGCCTGGAATGCCCTGTTTAACGCCACTCGGCTTCAGAGGTTTCTCTGGAAGCAAAAGGTCAGGCAAAGACCTATGTAATGTGCTGACCAAATTCCTAAGTAACGACTATGTTACATGCCTTCTCACAGTGGTCCCCAAACCTCCAAGTACGTTGCCCGAACACTTCGCTTTCGCTTGCTCCTTGGTTACGGCCATTAACGCGCCATCGTCACCAAAACATAGTAACCATAGAATATTTGCAGATGCTTTCGCAAAATCTGCATCCGAACAGTCTATTGATTTATATAAAAACCCATCGGACTTGACTAATGCTCTTGCTAGTGCGTATGGTAGCAGCGTGAGCGACCACGGCGCCAAGAGTCATGTTGGTGTCTATGCTGAGATGTCAGCCCTTTCGAAAACTATACCATGCTCCGATCAAGATGTTCACTGCGCCCCCTTTATCGAGTGCCTTTCTGCAGAGTCCTATAAATACGTGGCCCAGAAACACACGAAGCTTTACCTATCGTGGGCTATATACCTTCCATGGAACTTATGGGATTATCTTCGTTCTTTACTTGACGCCTTTCAAAGCATTGACTGCAGAAGCTTTGGTTGTCCAGGATGTTCGTGTAAACCAGCATCACATGGATCTAAACACAAGTGTAGTTGCAGGGCTATAGTATGTTGCCGCGCTGTGTTGCCAACGTTTTACCAATATGGGTTTACATTCAAGGATCCTAAAACCTTGCTGGATGGTACGAACAGGAAAATTTGCAACCACTTCTACACGCAATTAGAAATGGTTATCAAATCAGAATATTTTGATAAATTATTCAAATCATGCGACAATTTCCTGAAAGAAATCAGATGGCCGTTTATACTAACGTTGTTAGCCCTCTGGTCGCTCTCGCTCCTGTACCTGCTGCACATCGCCGTCGTCCGCCTCGACGTCCTGAGGATACGCTCCCACCTGAGATCGCCCTCAAGCCACCGCATCGCCGCGCAGTCGCTCCTCGCCGCCGCACGCGTCAAGGCACTCGCAAACGTCAAGTACTTCTCACCATAATCGTGCCTTCACGTGTGATCTGTGTATCACCAACTCACCAACTCAACCACTCACCCACTCACCCACTCACCCACCCACTCACTCACCCACTCACCCACTCACCCACCAACTCACTCAACCACCCACTCACCTAATCACTCACTCACTCACATACTCACCCACTCACTCACCCACCCACTCAACCACTCACTCACCCACTCACCCACTCTCTCACATACTCACTCAACCACCCACTCACTCAACCACCCACTCACTCAACCACTCAACCACTCAACCACTCAACCACTCAACCACTCAACCACTCAACCACCCACTCACACACCCACTCAACCACCCACTCAACCACTCACCAACTCACCTAATCACTCAACCACCCACTCAACCACTCACCCAACCACTCACTCAACCACCCACTCAACCACTCACATACTCACATACTCACCTCCCTCTTTCACTGGTCGCTTCGCTCCCTGCCTCCCCCTTCCATCACCTCCTCCGTCGGCGTCCTTCACCCAAATCCGCATTTTCCACTTTCCCCCTCCACCCCTATAATCGCCTTACCTCCACCCATCTTCCCCCTTCGTCGCCCTCTTTCGCCCCTTCACCTCCCTCACCCTGTCCACCCACCTCCCTCACCCCCTCACTGCCTCCCTGACCTAAAATCGCCCTTCCCCAAATTCTCCCAAATCGCCCTGAAAATGTGCCTAAAATAATCCTTCAACATTTCTCAACTTCTTCACTTTCCTCTTACTAGCCCTCTGGTCGCTCTCGCTCCTGTACCTGCTGCACATCGCCGTCGTCCGCCTCGACGTACTACGCATACGCTCCCACCTGAGATCGCCCTCAAGCCACCGCATCGCCGCACAGTCGCTGCTCGCCGCCGCACGCGTCAAGGCACTCGCCAACGTCAAGTACTTCTCACCATAATCTGCCTTCACGTGTGATCTGTGTATCACTCACTCACTCAACCACTCACTCAACCACTCAACCACTCAACCACTCAACCACTCAACCACTCAACCACTCAACCACCCACTCACACACCCACTCAACCACCCACTCAACCACTCACCAACTCACCTAATCACTCAACCACCCACTCAACCACTCACCCAACCACTCACTCAACCACCCACTCAACCACTCACATACTCACATACTCACCTCCCTCTTTCACTGGTCGCTCCGCTCCCTGCCTTCACCCCCTCCATCACCTCCTCCGTCGGCGTCCTTCACCCAAACCCTCATTTTCCGCCTTTCCCCTCCACCTCCGAAATCGCCTTACCTCAACCAATCTTCCTCCCTCATCGCCCTCTTTCGCCCCTTCACTTCCCTCACCCTGTCCACCCACCTCCCTCGCTGCCTCACTGCTTCCTTGACCTAAAATCGCCTTTCTAAAAAAATTCTAAAATTCTCCAAAAGTGTCCCATTTCACCTCCTCTAATTGTCCTCTAACCTTTTTCCCACTTTCTTCTCTCACCTTTTTTGCCCTCCCTTCTCGGCCTCCTTCGTCGGCCTCCATCGACTGGTTGATCCAGGTTAAGCATGGAAATGGTAATGGCCTTGGGCCTTTGGCTGAGGCTTTGAGAAAGCTGATTGGTGATGCAATTACTAGTGCAACTGATAGTCTTGAAAATAGGAAAAATGAACTCAATTGCCCTGATAAAACTTCTATTGAGCATTATAACAAGCATTGTAGTGACTTGAAGCAGAAAATTGATGAAGCCAAAGCATCTGGAAATGACTCTGAAAAATCTAAAATGGAATCCGACTTAAAGAAACATTATAATGGCGTTCATTACCTTACTGAGGATGCGAGAAAAGGAGCCTTAGGGGACATTGAGGAGAGGCAGAAGACTCTTGAGAAGCTTAAAGAAAATCTTGAAGCTTTTATTGGAAAAGAAAATGATGACGCTGGAAAATGTCAAAATCTTTTAACAAATCTCAGTGAAGGCTTAGAAAAGTTTTTAGGTTTCAACTCTGAGTCCAAAGGCTACTCGGGTGAGGGCATCGTGTACTCCGACCTTGACAGGCTGTGCGACGGGGTGATGGCTTTCCTTCATGGAGTTTTACATAGCATTAAGCCTGAATTAGGTCAGCATAAAGAGACATTAAATACTGCAATAAGCCTTCTTGAAACCAATAAACACTCTGGCAAAGAGGGTTTTAATACTGCGATTGTCAATGTGGTCCAGGGGGTGAGGGAGTATAATGAGGGTGTTAAGTTAAGTAATGAGAATATTAAAAAGCCTATAAAGACATTTCTAGCTGACTTCAAGGAAGAAAAAGGTGAGTTAATGAAACAAATTAATGCTTTGCAGGTGTCTGATGTGCCAAGCCAAGCGGAGCCGGAGGCGACCAAGGCCAAGGAGCTTGTGGAGTCGTGTCTTCGACACTCTAATGTCTTTGATAGCGCACTTAGTGACGCACAAAAGCACATTAATGATCTTAATCCCACATGTAAAACTAGTGTAATTCACGCACATAAGAATGTGAAGCATGAGATTAAGCGGCTCGGTGAGCTGTCCAGTAGGGAGCATGGCGACTTGGCGGCCATGATTAAGTTTATCGAAACTAAGTTGAATGGCCTCGGAGTGGAGGTCAAAGAGGAAATTTGCAAGCAGGTGAGAGACCTTGTTGAGCATCTGAAAAGAAGGGTTCAGTTTATTAAGCTTCAGCTGGAAGATGCTGACAAGAGTCTGAAGGAATACGCTAAGGAACTTCAGCAGTGGATCAACTCGTCGGACAAACTTGTGAAAGACGCGATGAAGGAAGCTGTAAACATTGAGGAAAGGAGGCCTGGTAAATATAATAAGCAAACAGGCGATGGAATTGCAGCGGCGATGGACCAATGGGGAAAAGACGTTAACAGTTATGTTAAAGGCATGACGATCAAAATTAATGAGCATGCTCAGGAAGCTGGGCGGAAACTTGTGGAGCTGGATAAGGTTTATAAGAATAAATTGTTGGAGATAACCAAGGCAGTGGAGGGAGTGCCGAAGGCGATTAAGGCGCTTGGGGAGAAGTTTCCTGATAAGGGCGGCAAAAAGCCGACAAGTATTGATGGGATCTTTGAAAATATTAGAAACCAGGTTATCCAAATTAATGGGACAGCAGGAGACACAGATTCATTCTACATGGGTTTCGAGGGCATGAAAAAGGGTGTTAAGGAGTATGCTGAGGGGTTCACTCAGGGACAGTTTGAAAATACGGTGAAAGGGTGGAGTAATAAGATAGTAGATACAGTTGGTGGTCCAAGCGGGCTGCGAGGGTATTGGATGAGTCAGAAGCCTTTGGCGAATAAGTATGACACAGAAGGTAAAACACTGCATAAAGCAGTGACCGGAAAAATTATTGCGAATATCACCGCCGATGTCATTAATCCGGCTGCTGGCACCTTTGGTGGAAGTCCCGAAGGAAAGCGCGTTGATGAAATTTTGAAAGCCGTCAAAGAGGTTTGTGAGACTTTTGCCAATAAGCTGGAGATGCAAATTCCGACTAAGGTTACTATAATTGTAGGAGCCATTGAGAGTGAAGGTTCGTTGAAAATAAAGAATAAGGGCTCCCTATATAACGGTGATCTAAATTCCGCCGTCCAACGCATCCTTTTTGCACTCGCCGCCAACGCAAAGAATATCGCCGCCGAACTCCACTCATTGGTCCTCGAGACTAGACCCTCTGGCTCAGACACTAGCATCGCAGGCAAAATAAAGGAGGCTCATGAAAAGAGTGAGACACTTAAAGGTCAGTTTGACACGGCGACTGGGAAAGGAGCCGCTGCCGGATCCAACACCAACCACGCCCAAGCCGTCGACACCGCGATCGCGCAGGTGCAGACACAGGTTCAGCATATCACCGGCCCAGCAGACAACGTAAATCTAGGCGACAGCTCCATCAGCACCAAACGCGACAAAGCCTACACCCCCCCTCGACCAAGCGATCAAGAACATCAGTGGAGAAGCCTCTGCTCTCAGCGTCGAACCCACCGAAACTAAGCTCAAAGAGTGGTCCGGCAAAATTAAAGATGAACTAAGCAAAATAGTCGACGCATTCGTCTTCCACGGCACACTCATCAAAGGCATTTTGACCAAGCTCGAAAAGGACCTTGGCAGAGGCAAGTTGGATAAAAATACTCTCCAAGACCTCCACAAAAAATTGACGGAGCTCCAACAAGGCCCGGTGACCAAGGCCCTGAATGAAGCCAACGACATTCTAGAAAAGGCAGAAGAAGTGACGAACAATACACTGAGGCCTCTGAAAAACAAAGTTGACCAACAAGTCTCCTCCGCAATCTCCGAGCTGAGCACCCTAGCCAGAAAGCAGTACATTTCCTCTATCCAATCCATGCTCACCGAATTCTCCAAGAAGGTTGAGGAGGAGCTGGAAGGAGTACCCGAAGAAATCGAAAAAGATTTGGAGCAGGGACACAAGAAGTTTATGAAATTGTTTGAAGATAATTTTGTCACGAGAGCCAAAGTTATTGCAGATATCGATCCTAATAAGTTTACGAAAGCAGAGCCTCCACTGCACCAGGCGGCAAGAAGGTTAAGTGGCGCAATAAGTGCTTTATTCATCAATTGCCAAAAGGTTGCAGATTTAAAGTCAGACTTCGGCATAATGAAGCCTACACAAAAGGCTCTTGACAGAGTGCTTACAGGCCTCTGGGCATCCAATCATTTCGACAACAAATTTTCTAATAATTTGGATGCACTGAATGATACGTTAGCTACATTCAATCCCAAGACATACGGTGAGGGAAAATATCCTTATATTCTCGAGTCGTTTAAAAAAGGCTTCGCGGCATTATTCACGAAGCTGGAGCACGCGTACGTGAACGCTTACAGCGGTATGAAATTCACTAGATTGTTAGCACCTAAAAAAGTGGATATGTCGGAAAATGTTCCCGATCCACAACGTCCCGCCTCAAATGTTGCTGCCGCCTCCGGTCAACTATCTGATCCCAGCCGAACAAGGCGTTCCGCTCCCGCCGCCAGCGGTCCTGTTCCCAGCACTCCGCCAACATCTCCCCCCGTCTCTGGCCAAAAGGCCGAGCCGGAATATGAGTTAACCCCCGAGGGCCGCGACTGCGCAAAGGTCTGTGTCACCATTATGGAGCGAGTGAAAAATCATCTGTTTGTTTTGGAAAGAGAATGTAACTCTGGTGGCAGGTGGCGCCATAATAGTATTCGTTTGTATGATCATACAAATGGCAGGAAAACTGAGAACCCGCTTGGCACATGGCTGAGGGACCACGGCTTCCGAGTGCCGTCCGAGGAGGGAAAGCAAGATGGCGAATTGCGGAATAACCTTGGCTTCACCGGGCATAAAATGAAAACTACACTGCTTGACCACAATATTCCCGGCGCTTCTCAGGTTCGATCCCTACTTGACTGGGTGACTGAGGAGAGGAAAAATGCTTCTCCGGGCAGCAAAAAGAGTGCCACAGGAATCGATGTCTTCGACATTGCCCACTGCCTCCGCGACCTTTTCAGGAAATACTATGAAGTATGTCACCATGAGCATATCGATTTGCCTAGGGCATCAAGTAACATCTACGATATGCTTCAGTGGCTTGGTGGCCTGCGGTGGAATCCGATGTACAGCACACTGAAGGGGCACCTTAGGACATTGTTCCCCAAGCCCTTAAAAGATGATCCCAGAGATTACAAGGACATTCCCGCGAAGGACTTGAAACTGGAAGCGTATCCGAAGACAATCACGTATGACGACTTGAGCGATGAACTGCTGCAAAGTGTTTGCATATACGCCCAAGATGCGTTGATCGGCATACTGGGCCACGGTCACTCGGGCGGAATTTACGCCTGTGACTTTTTCACAAATGCACATAAGTTATCGTATCCTACTAGCGTCGGTTCATGCTTTGACATGCTCTTAGACATAGTATTTAAAGTGCAACATCAACTTCATTTTGTATATAAGCAGTGTTGCGATACAACAGCGCTCAGCGGTTGGCGTGACTGTGTATACGGCAACGGAGTTGGTGGCTCTGGATGGCAATGCAATCGGCTCCAATGCCCTAACCAAAAGGCCGAACAAAACGCTGACCAAATAGGTAACCAAACACATAAGCAAACATGTACCCAAAAGTGTGACCAAACTGTTAGTTGTGGCCTTAAGTCGCCGCTCCAATCCTTTTTGGAGGACGGTTTGCAAGGGTTCTTGCCGCACCATATGACGAAAGTTGGCTGCGGAGTTAAGTGCTCCGTCGGCAGCCACAGAGGTCAACCGTGCAAAACGCCTATGGGCTTTGGAGACATAAGCGTAACGGCCTCTCATGTCAAAAAGGGAGCTCACCTTGCCGGCGTTCTTGACAGTTTCTGCGGTCCTACATCCCACCTAAGTAGGTTGTGTCGTAAGCTGAATTGCCTCCTTCGTAGAGCGCCACAAACTCTTGGTGATATGCTTGCCTTTTACCACAAATTCCTATATGAATGGAACGGACAGGGTCGTGTGCACAGGCAGGATGCATTCTTGCAGGCTGTTAATGACGCAATTTTCGGCGAACAGTATGGAAAGTTGGACGTTGTATGCATACAATCCAGCAGAACGCACACTGAGAAACATTCCAAAGGTGATCTATTTAGTTTGGTGGACTGTCATACGTCTCCAACAGTGAATGCTCCCGTCGGTTCCTGCGGTCCATATTTGGAGTCAATTAGTAATGACATCCGCCGAACATTCTCCGAAACTCGCGCTTCGAACTATCTTTCATGGATCGTTTATATCACGGAGACATTTTACGATCTACTCAAAATGTTATATGATGAGTGCAACAAATGTTGCGGCACTGATAAGTCGAAGTGCCGTGTTGCAAAATGTGCAGTAAATTGTAATGTCGGCAAACAGGCATCTACATACAATCACGATGATTCATGTAACTCCATTGTAAATTGCAGCTATACCACGCCTACATTATTTAAATATGGATTCGTTCATGGGGATGCTCTGATACTTGCTGGTAAGAGGAGCAAACGTACGTGCAGAGACTTTTGCACGGCCCTGGGAAAAGTGATCAGCGACAAAATATCAGACGAATCGCCGCTCGCAACGTTAATATATGAGAAAATTCCCAATTTCATCTGCGCCATCAGATGGCCATTTATGCTAACGTTACTCACCCTCTGGTCGCTGTCGCTCCTGTACCTGCTGCACATCGCCGTCGTCCGCCTCGACGTGCTGAGGATACGCTCCCACCTGAGATCACCCGCAAGCCACCGCATCGCCGCGCAGTCGCTGCTCGCCGCCGCACGCGTCAAGGCACTCGCCAACGTCAAGTACTTCTCACCATAATCGTGCCTTCACGTGTGATCTGTGTATCACTCACCCACCCACTCAACCACTCAACCACTCACCCACTCAACCACCCACCCACTCACCCACTCACCCACCCACTCAACCAGTCACTCACCCACCTAATCACCCACTCACCCACTCACCCCCCACTTTCACTGGTCGCTTCGCTCCCTCCTCCCTCACCCCTCCATCACCTCCTCCGTCGGCGTCCCTCACCCAAATCCTCATTTTCCACTTCTCCCCTCCACCTCCACAACCGCCTGTCTCCACCCATCTTCCCCCTTCATCGCCCTCTTTCGCCCCTTCACCTCCCTCACCCTGTCCACCCACCTCCCTCGCTGCCTCACTGCCTCCTTCACCTAAAATCGCCTTTCTCAAAAAATTCTAAAATTCTCCAAAATTGTTCCGTTTTACCTCCTCTAATCGCCTTTGAACTCTTTTTCCACTTTCTTCTCTCACCTCTTTTGCCCTCCCTTCTCGGCCTCCTTCGTCGGCCTCCATCGACTGGTTGATCCAGGTTAAGCATGGGAATGGTAATGGTCAAGATGGTCTTGACCAGTTGGCCAATGCTTTGAAAAAGTTGATTCAAGATGCTATTAACAGTGCCAATATTAGCCTTTCAACCCAGCAAAATCACCTTAATTGTCTCGGACATTACTCCTTTAATAACTCTGGTACGTCCCACTGTCAGTCTCTCAACGACAAAATTGACTCACTTAAAAACTCTGATAACTCACAAAATGACTCTAAAATCGACGACCTTAAATCACAATTGAAAGATCATGTTGCCAAGTATCATTCCCTTTCTGAGTCTGACAGGACTGCCCAACTCAAGGACATCCGCTCCAGGATGGTGTCTCTTGCTGAGCTCAGTGGCAAGCTTGGCCAATTTATTGGCCCTGAAAAGGCTGTTACTGACGCAATTAAAAATGGTATTGACATCATTATCAACAGTGACAATGACTTCAAAAGCCTTAAAAACTCTTCGTCTTCGACTGTGCAGCCTTCCGCTGCCGTGTCTGCTGGGCTTATAAATGATGGTGAGCTTAGCAGTAAAATTAGGCATTATGAGAAAGAAATTGCGTCTCTTTCCGCTGAGATAGAACAACTTAAAAAGCAAAAAACGTCTGTCCCCGATGACCTTAATAAGTCTCATGAGTCTCATCAGTCCAAGTTGGATGCTCTTCAGAGGCTGAGTAAGCTTAATGAGTCTTTTAAATCTCTTGGTAGTAATAATAATGATGCTTGTGAAAGCCTTTTAAATAACCTGTGCTCCGGCTTGGAGAAGTTTCTTGGTTACCAAGAAACTTCCAAAGGCTACTCGGGCACTGGCATCGTGTACTCGGACCTTGACAGGCTGTGTGACGGGGTGATGTCTTTCCTTCATGGAGTTTTACATAACATTAAGCCTAAATTAGGCTTACATAAAGAGTCTATAAAAAATGCAATTGAGTCTCTTAAGCTTCATAAAAACTCTGGCAAAGAAGGTTTTAATGAAGCGATTGGCAAGGTGGTCCAGGGGGTGAGGGAGTATAATGAGGGTGTGAAGGAGTCGAACAAAAAGGTGAGTGATGTTATTGAGACGTTTACTGGGCAAATGGAAAAGATTCCTGCAGCCGTTGAGAATTTTACTAATTATAATCATATCCCGCAAATTGATGAGAAGGTTTATGACTGTCTCCAGCAGGCTGAGAAGTACAAGCAGGGAATGGAAGACGAAGTAAATAATATTGGGGATCTTCAAAAGGATCTGCAGACTAAGATCAATATGAAAACTGCAATAATTGCATATCAGGCTGCGGAATTGAAAAAGATCCACTCAAGGCAGAAAGAGGATTTGAGATCATTCACCGGCGTGGTTCATAAGCAGCTGAATGATGCGAAAGAACAGATAAATCTGACAACCTCGGAGAGAATTAGGGCGTTTGTTAGTGAAGTTAATAGGCAGATTGGGCTTCTTAAACATGGGATAGAGAATGTTAATAACACATTGAAGAAGTATGTTGAACTGTTGTTAAAGTGGATCGAAAAAGCTGATGCAGCTTTGGGTAAGTCTATGCAGAAAGTAAGTGAGATCATTAAGGAAGCAAGTGGAACATCGGAGAAGCAGCATAAGCAAAATTTACTTAAAGCTGTTAACGAATTAAAGGAGAAGGGTTTGGCGTTGTATAAGGCATATGAGTTGGCGACATTTAAGCTACGCCCATTGATGGAAAATGTTAGCACTGCCGTCAAGGGATTGGATCAGAAAGTGCAGGAGGATTTGAAGACATTGAAAAAGGCCATCGATTTGGAAATTGGGAAGTATGCTGACTGGGCGAAAGCAGAGATTAGGCAGTTGAAAGAGAAGGCTCTTGATCAGACTTCTGGTGGTGGTGAAGAAAGTATCCAACATAATTGGGGATATCTCAAACGGACAATTACGAGCCTTGTCGGTAACATTTATGGTAAGGCAGGCGATTCAAATTATAAAGGTCTTCAAGGGATCGTCGACGCAGTAGGGGAGTATGCTGCGGAGTTTGGCAATGGTCAACTTGAAAATGTAGTAAAAGAGTGGGTTGGAAAGATATTGGATAAGGATGTAGTGGTAAAATATAGGCTGGGAGAGTTTGTTAAGGACAACAATACGTATTTCCAAAAACCGACGTATAAAGATAAGAACGATCCGACATTGTTACAAAACCCAATTAAAGACGCGATTAAAGATGCGCTTACAAGTGAAATCGCCGACGCCGTTAGAACTTTTGCTGGATCACGCGGTGAAAAGATTGATAAAAATCTCAATACTGTACAGAGTGTTTGCGAGAAGTTTGCGGACGCGCTTGAAGCAAAAATTAAGGACGGAGAAACAAAAACTTATAGCACTAATCCGTTTCTCTCTGCTGTTGTCTCGTCGATTGAGAAAGAACTCAATGCCGATGCGTCCAATTCCAGTTATGGCAATCATTATCTCATATCGGCTCTCCGTGCTATCCTCCCAGCTCTCGCCACCAGCTCTCGGCAGGCTGCCGCGGAACTTAACAAATTTAGCTCAATGTCCAAAATCGGCAAAAACGTTACTGAAGCCATGAGCAAAGTTGATGACATCAAGAGGCAATTTGACGGCAAGACAGAGGGGTATGGGAAGAAGATACGTGACGCGTTGACTACCTTGATGGAACCCATTGAGGAGCTCGACAACACTCTATCCAGTGACGTTATCGGGAGCTACATTGACAACGCTATCTCACCGTATTTTAAAAAAGGTAATGATGTAAGAATAAAAATGCTTGCATACAGAGATCACGTTAATGATAGTGGCCCAATTGACAATGCCATAAAAGCGGTTAGTGCGCAAGCCCTGCAACCCATTACAGACGCCGTTAGAGAAAGCAAGGCAAGTAAGGGCAATATGACAGCCAAACATTCGGAAGCCGTGCGACACCTCAACTCTCTGTGTAACACAATTTTAACAGCGGCCAGAGATGATGAAGATGAAGGCCTAAACAAAAAACTAATTCAACTGCAACAATTGATCGATGAAGATGAATGTACCATTAAACAAGAGCAGCAGATGGGTTTGAGAAAGATTAAAGATGATCTTAATACGCTTCGAAATGATTATTTACAACCTCTAATTCAACAAACCCAAGACATGGCTGACCATGCCTCTGAGAAAAGTGAGCAAATGATCCGCGAACTTTCCGAGCACGTCGGCCTAAAAATCAAAACAGCAGAAACCGCCGTCACCCAGGATGTTCAAACAAAATACGTCGGTTTTATGAGGTCCCAACTTAACGCCTTTGTTATAAAAATAAGCGATGAATTAGGAAGCCTAACTAACGACATCGCCAAAGACGCCGATAAGGACTTCAAAGGTTTCATGCAACTACTACGTCGGACGCTGGAATCTAGTCCATTAGGTAGCCAGTTGGATGAAAATTCTGCTCTCCTCGACACATCCTTTAAACTGAAGCATTTCTTCTCAGATATACTGGATGCTTTGAACAATAATAAGGACATTATTACGAAGTCCACTAAAATCGAGCAGCTACAAAAAACACTTGACACACTTTTTACCGATCTGTCGAAATATAATACAAAATTTGAAAAGGATCTCACCGCATTAAAATCGCTACTAAACAGACTCCGTCCGTCGTCGTACGACGAGGAGCGCAATCCGTTGTTGCACATCCTTACTAAAGGCGTTCAAGGTTTGCACGATGAACTTGATAAAGCCTATATATCGGTATACGACGGTGACACTGTTGAGTGGGATTATGACAAAAATCCTGAAAAGGAAAAATGCGCCAACGTCATTCTCACTACGATTTCCGTCCTCTTCGAGGAGTTATATTATTTATTCTTCCAGTGTTCAGCGGACTGGATAGCTCACGCCATACAAAGAGGCCAAGGCAGAGCGAACGGTGCTTTAAGAAAATATTTAGAGGATCAAGGCTTTGAGACTGCCAGCCTCATTACCAGACGCAACCAAGGTGGCGATGTAAAAAGCATTCTCACCAGAGCATTCTCAAATTACACTGATTTCCAAACCTCCCTCACCGGAAAGCACATAGCTATTTCCGCCTACCTTGATTCCATCAAGGATACGCAGGGGCCTCTTTGCACACTTTACCGTCACCTAACGATCTACTTCAACGTCTGCCATCTTACGCTGCCGAAATCAAAAACATATCCTTGCACTATTAGAGACATCTGTGCTTGGATTTGTGGGCTTCCATATACTGCCGTGTATAAAAATGTTAAAACGTACTGCAATGATCTACTTAACAACGATGAGTCGTACAAGACAGATGCCGTCCTGCAACCCATCCTATACGCCGACCTACCGTACAATTTACGTCTAACTGCACAAGGTGCTTACAACGTACTCATCACAATAAGCGGCAACGGTCAAGGAGCAGATAACGCCGACTATCCTTATGCCTGCAATTACTGTGACAACTCGCGTAATTTCTACTACCCTAGCAACGCCGCAGAACTATTAGACATGCTTAGAGATGTATGTAAACGTCTGTTGTCTTCATTCTATTTTCTATACAACAAGTGCCAATACACTGTGACCCAGGGTAACGGTTGGTCCGACTGTGACTACGGCCATCAAGTGCCCGGTTATTACTGGAATTGCGATCCATCTAGCCATAAGTCAAATGCCCAACCAAACACTAAACCAAAGTGCTCACCAAAAGGCCAATCAACGTGCCAACCAAAATCGCCCCTGCAAGCTCACTTAACTGACAGCTTACCCGGCTGCCTGCCACATAAATTGATGTCCGTTGGTTGTTCAGCTAAATGTTCCACATGTCCTACTAGCAAACCAGGCCAGCAATGTATTACTCCCATGGGCTTTGGGGATTTGTCGAGTTCTGCATCTATAACCGGCCGCGGTAAGGACATATGCAAGGTGCTGTATGACTTTTGCGGCAATGCCGCTTCCCGTTACCATCATTACTCCGTTGCCTATTGTCGGTGAAGCCTTCACCGCCTAGCAACTTGGGCGATATGTTATCGTTCTTTAGCAGTCTGCTGCAGAGGTGGAATGGCAAAGGATACAGTCATGATACTGAATACAAACACAGAATTGACAGTTCCATCAATGCCAGTTTGCCGTTTCCAAATGCGTTTCACGGAAGCTTCGAAGCGGAAATGCTTACGAACACGCTTACAGCATTCACTCACTCTCCTAAGGATCACACCTTGTCCGATAACAAGAGTGGACACTGCGATATTCAAAGCTTGACAACAGGCAGCAAATGCTCAGCATCATATACATGCGCTCCGTATATTAAACCCTTGTGTTTCGACGCCTACCATACCTTCTCTGCGAAGCACGCAAGACTATATATATCATGGTTCTCGCACCTCGCTTGGACGTTCAAAGAGTTACTTGACTACCTACTCGATGCGTTCAAAAGTGCGTCTTGTAAATCCTCTGGATGCAGTTCCTGTAATTGTCCGTCCGGTAAGCATGGCGACGTAAAACATCCATGTCACTGCTCAACTGTGGTCCAGTGTAGCAGTACATCACCTATGTTATACAGCTATGGATTCGCATTTGGTGACGCCTTGTCTCTTAATGCAACAAAACAAACAACAAAAACATGTTCAAATTTCGTCAGCCAGTTGCATCAGGTAAAGGCATCGAAGTATTTCACAAAATTGTTTGACAGAATAGATATGTATCTATTTGCAATACGCATTCCATTCATGATAACGCTCCTCACCCTCTGGTCGCTCTCTTTGCTCTACCTGCTGCACATCTCCGTCGTCCGCCTCGACGTCTTGAGGATCCGCTCGCACCTGCGATCGCTCTCCTCGCACCGCATCGCCGCGCAGTCGCTCCTCGCCGCCGCACGCGTCAAGGCACTCGCCAACGTCAAGTACTTCTCACCATAATCGTGCCTTCACGTGTGATCTGTGTATCACCCACTCAACCACCCACTCAACCACTCACTCACCTAATCACCCACTCACTCACCCACCCACTCAACCACTCACCCACTCACTCACCCACCCACCAACTCACCCACTCACCTAATCACTCACCCACCCACTCAACCACTCACCCACCCACTCAACCACCCACCCACTGAACCACTCAACCACTCAACCACCCACTCACTCACTCACTCACCCACCCACTCAACCACCCACCCACTGAACCACTCAACCACTCAACCACCCACTCACTCACTCACTCACCCACCAACTCACCCACTCACCCACTCAACCACCCACTCACTCAACCACTCAACCACCCACCCACTCAACCACTCAACCACCCACTCACCCACTCACACACTCACTCACCCACTCACATTCTCACTCACCCACTCACCCACTCACTCAACCACTCACCCACCCACTCAACCACCCACCCACTGAACCACTCAACCACTCAACCACCTCCCTCCTTCACTGGTCGCTTCGCTCCCTGCCTCCACCCCCTCCATCACCTCCTCCGTCGGCGTCCTTCACCCCAATCCTCATTTTCCACCTTCCCCCTCGACCCCCGAAACCGCCTTACCTCAACCCATCTTCCTCCCTCATCGCCCTCTCTCGCCCCTTCACCTCCCTCGCCTTGTCCACCCACCTCCCTCACTGCCTCCTTGACCTAAAATCGCCTTTCCCCAAATTCCCCCAAATCGCCCTGAAAATGTGCCTAATAATCCCCCTTTACTTATTTTAATTGCCTATCAACCTCCTAAAAATGCCTCTGAAATTGACAAACTTAATAAGCATCTTCAGTCTCATCAGTCATCCAAGGAGTCTCTTGAGACACTGAAAGAGCTTTGTGATTTTGCTGAGAAAGTTGATAAAAAATCTGATAACTGTAAAAACCTTTTAAATAACCTCTGCACAGGCCTCGAAAAATTTCTCGGCCACAGTAATGGGAATTACTCTGGCTCCGGCATCGTGTACTCGGACCTTGACAGGCTGTGTGACGGGGTGATGTCTTTCCTTCATGGTGTTTTAGATGAAGTTCATACAAATAATAACCTTTCGCCTTATAAAGAGACGTTGGAAAACGCTGTAAGCCTTTTAGAAACTCATCGTCATGAAGGCAAAACAGGTTTGCATACTGTGATTGGCACTGTCAAGTTGGGGATTGAGCAGTGGTTGGGGGATGTGAATACTAAGAGTGAGGCGGTGAAAAAGCCGATTAAAAACCTGGAAGACGATGTAAATGCCTTTTTCAAATACTTTGAGACACTAAAGACTGATAAGGAATATGACGCCGAACAGAGTAATTTGCAGTCTTCTATTAGGTCTGTCAATCAGCTTTCCTTAGATGTCCATCACTCCACTGACGCACTTATGAACGTTGATAAAATGCTTGAAAAAGAATTAAAACCGCATGTGGATTTAATATTTGAATCTGTTAAGGCTTTTAAGGACTCCACTAAGCAGGATCACGATGGGCTTGTTAAGGTATGTAAGAAGGTGGATGAGGAGTTTGGGGAGTTGGATAAAAAAGTGGAGGATGGGTTGAGTGAGAGTAATAAAAATGGTTTAAGGTATAAGTTCAAAGAGGGAATTGAGAGCATCCTTCAACAGATTGGGAAAGAACGCAAAGGCAGCCTATTCCATTCAATTGAGACGGCATTACGAGAAATGAATGAGACATTGGAAAACGAGGAAGGGATTAAAGGCCTCAACAGTAAACTGAAGTCAAATATAGAAAAGGCTTTTAATAATATTAAGCAAGACGTTAACAACGTTCACAACACATTGACTTCCAAAAAAACAGAGCTTGATACGCTTGTTGGACAGGCTCAACAGCATGTTTATCGTATAAAAACAGAAGTTGCGGATAACGCCGGGGGGTTGGCAGATACTGTATGTGGCGGTTGGGATCTGCTTAAGATTGAGATTACGAACCTTGTTAACAAGATTAAGGGAGAGGGGCGAACAAGTGATGGAGTTCCATACACTAATGGTCTGACGCAGATCAACAACGGCATAAAAGCGTACGCGCTGGAGTTTACCAGTGGAACGTTTGTCACTGTTCTTACGCAATGGATTGGGGAAATCGTGGATGAAGGGGTGGTACACGGTAAAATTTATGCGTATGTTTTAAACAACGGTCCTAAGTTTCAGGATGCAGTTGGGCGCTCGTCTGAGAAAACTGCGGAAGTGAAAGCAGCCATTAAGGCTAAATTTCCATTGCACATTATTACAGATATTCAAAGCGTTGCACAGCGAACGCTGCAAGGCATAAAGGTGGGTAACGTTGGTGAACAGTTCCAAAGATTTGTCGAGGAGTTAGGAATGCAATTTAAAGGCATTGAAGTTGAAAATACACTTGGGGTGGCTGCGAAGGCGATAGAGGATCATTTGAAAAGCACCAATCCCAAACTACCCACAAAAGATGAAAATATAAAACAAGCAGTCAAAGCCATTATCAAACCGCTCGAAAGAAGATTTCAGCAGGTCGCCAACGAACTGCAGCGATTCACTGCAACGTCTCAGATTGCGAATTTGACAGCGGCCATATCAAATGTTGAATTAATTGGCAATAAAGTTGACGAAAGCAAGGACGCATATAACGACGGTTTTGGCAAAAAAATCGACACAGCTCTGGAAAAGGTGAAAGCAAAAATTCAGGCGCTGGATGTTTTATTTGGCAAAACAGTAGGCGATGAAGGCTCCATTCATAGTATGCTCAAAGGAGTCACCACAGACCTTGAAGCGCTTAATAATATAAAAAAAGATGGGTCCGTGGGGAAAATTAATTTTCGAAAAAACCAAATTGTCGTCGCTCTAGATACTATCAGAAGAAAGATAGTTCAGGATATTAATGCTGTAATTAAAACCCTGCAAGTTGCCGATAAGCAATTAACAGTATTGCTAAACGACCTAAGCAAATCACTCACCAAATTCCAAGAAACATTCCTCCAAGAAATTGAATCCTTCCACGCCGCCTACAAACAACGTTCCTCCGAAGCCAAAAACGCAATCAAACGCCAAGCCCTCTCCCAGTTCGCCCACTCCAAGGCCCGCGCGCTCGAGCAGCTGAAGGAGTTGGTGGAAGAACAAAACGAGATAATTCTGAATAAAATTCATATAGACACCGAAACGGGATTAAAAGGATTCATGAAAATATTCAACGAGAAACTGGTTGAAAAACTTCAGGAAATAAAAACGATTACACCTACGGAATTTACACCAGAGAAGTCTCCGCTGAACCAAGCTGCCGAAAAAGTATGCGTCGGCTTCGAGATGTTTTTCGAAAAATTGGGAATACAAAGAAAGGAGTTCGAAGGTTTTCCACCAGGCGTCATTCAGCCTGACGCCATGTTCCCTGGGGTGTCCAAATATGAGAGTGTAACTAACGCCCTGCTGAAACTTCTTGAAGATCTTCATGCATCCAAACACTTCGACCACAATTTCAGTGATCACCTAAAATCCCTCAACACAGCACTATCTACATTCGCCCCCGCCAAATTCACTGACCCCTCCAGTCTCATCCTGCAAGCGCTCAAGGACGGAATCGGCGCCCTGGCCAAGCAACTCGGCTACGCATATGTGAGCACGTACTGTTGTCAGAAGTTTGACGGTGCGTTGCTTGATCCTGAGATTTCCACTGCGTCAGACGACAAACGCAAATTGACTGAGTACGGCAAGATGCTGTCTAAGGTTTTCATGAGCTGTCTGCCTGGTTGGCTGAAGCATCTTGCACACCTTAAAAAACATTGTGATAAAAATCCCAAGAAGGGTCCGTGGAATGATCTTAAAATTACTAAGCATGGTAAAAATCCTCTCGGTCAATGGTTCACGGACCGCGGCTACGACGTGTCTGCTGATGCAGTTAAGCCAAACGGGGAGTTGAGGAATGAAACAAAGTGCAGTGGAGATTATATTTTCGGCACACTGCTTAACAAGGCACTCCCCAACGCCCCTAGAATTAAAGGCATGAATAACAACAATATTAATCTCCTCCACATTCTTTCACTGCTTCACCCTATGCTTGACACGTACTACCGTGTCTCTCACCATTTCATTCCTGAGAAACCAAGAGCCCCGAGTAACATCTATCTCATGCTCCAATGGACCGCCGGCCTTAAGTACAACCACATGTATGGTGAAGTCAAGAACCAGCTTGGCAATGTGCTTAAGGGCCTACAAAAAGAGCATAACTTAGAAGACGCTGAATTGCCAGTCGCCGTGCAATCCGATATGCAACGCGTGATTCAATCACCTATAAACTCTGACCAATTAACTAAAGCACTTGAAAGTGTCTGCCACTACGCCGAACAAACATTAGTCGCCGTGCTCGGCCACGGCCACGCCGACGGTGTGTATGCCTCTGATCACCTCACTAACTCAAGTAATTTGTTGTATCCTGGTAGCGGTGGTGCGTGCTTTGACATGTTAGTAGATGTGTTATTTAGACTGTATAAGCAACTGTGGTTCCTACGTAGGCAGTGCCTCGGTGGCAAAAGTCACAGCGGGTGGAAAGACTGCTCATACGGCAGGCACGTGGCTGGCTCAGGTTGGCAGTGCAACAATGAACAGTGTGCTGACCTAGACTGTCCCCAAAAGCCTAACCAAAAGGGGAACCAAAACACTAACCTAAGTGCTGACCAAAGCGCTGACCAACGCTGTGACCAGCATCCCGATTGTGGTATGAAATCGCCACTGCAGTCTTTCTTAGAGGACGGCCTTCAGGGCTTTCTGCCTCATTCGTTTAGCAGTCCCGGCTGCAAACTTACGTGTACTGTGTCCAATCACAGGGGACTTCCTTGTAAGACGCCTATGGGTTTTGCCGATATAGGTGTCCTTGCTTCCCATACGAAAACAGGGGCCTATCTCGAAGCTGCACTTTACAATCTATGCGGTCCGTATTCTGCCCTCAGTAAACTCTGTAACATGCTGAACTGCGTACTCCGCCGAGCGCCTCAGACGCTTGATGATATTTTCAGTTTCCTCCGTGGTTACCTGGCAAATTGGAACAGCCTCCCTCCAGTGAATAAAGAGGCCATCACACATAAGAGTGTGGCCTTTAAGAATGCCATTAAGGAAGCATATTTCGGCCGGGAATATCTAGAGTTGTGTCCGACTATATTGTTCACCACCCGTGTACATCAATCGGGGAACAAGTCAAACCATTCCAAAGGTGATCTGTTCACCATATCCGAATGTGAGGGTAGCGCAGTAGATACATGTGGTGTATATGTGGAGTCACTATCATCCAGCACATATAGCATATTCTCGTCGTACCACAACAAACAATGCCTGTCGTGGATTTTGTACTCGGCTGAGACCTTGTATAGTTTGCTGGACAGATTATATAAACAGTGCTGTGGTACGTGCACGTCTCCTGGAGCCAAATGTCATGGCACAAGATGTGTTACGGAATGCCAAGTGAAAAAGGCATACGATGCTCAAACCTCTGATGAAGCAACGCCAGACACAAAGGCACTTGACGGCAAAAATCACAATGATGATTGTGCATCCATTGTCAGATGCCATAACACACTTCCTACGCTATATACATATGGTTTCAGTTTCGGGAACCCATTGGGATTGTGCGGCACAGGAAATGCAACAGCAAATAGAAGAACGTGCAAAGATTTCTGCAGTGCATTGAAAAAAATTCTTGAAGAAGAATCTGCACTAATTCAATTAATCAAGCAAATCGACAATTTCATTTGGAAGATAAGAGAGAATTTCTCTTACACCCTCCTCACCCTCTGGTCGCTGTCGCTCCTGTACCTGCTGCACATCGCCGTCGTCCGCCTCGACGTCCTCCGCATACGCTCCCACCTGAGATCACCCTCAAGCCACCGCATCGCCGCGCAGTCGCTCCTCGCCGCCGCACGCGTCAAGGCACTCGCCAACGTCAAGTACTTCTCACCATAATCACCCACTCACTCAACCACTCACATACTCACTCACTCACCCACTCACTCAACCACTCACTCACTCACTCACCCACCCACTCACTCACCCACTCACCCACTCAACCACCCACTCACTCACCCACTCACTCAACCACTCACTCAACCACCCACTCACTCACCCACCCAACCACCCACTCAACCACTCACCCACTCACTCACTCACATACTCACTCACCTAATCACCCACTCAACCACTCAACCACCCACTCACCCACTCACCCACTCAACCACTCAACCACTCAACCACTCAACCACTCAACCACTTCAATTCATTTTAAATCTATATACTTCACCTATCACCATTTTACTTCACTTACCCACTAAACCACTTCCTATCGAATTACTCACCATTTTAATGGTTTCTACCCCATTCTTAACTATTTTAATTCACTTACTTACTTACTCAATCTACTTACTCAACGCATTTACCACTTATAATGCATCAATTTTTACTTCAATTCATACCATTTCAATTACTCATTAATACTTAAGCTTACTTACCCATCGATACTTAACCACCGCATTTACTTCACTCACTCCAATCCACCCATTTAACCATCTTATGCATTTACTTACTCACATACTCATTCACTTAATTCATTTGCCATTTACTGCACCACGACTACTTACTTATTCACCGCTAACTCAACCACTCATCACTGCACTCAACCACTCTTACCATTTACTTACCTACTCTAACACTCACTTCAGTTTATATTTCACTGATTCACTCGCTATATATTTACTTACTTAATTATCACCATTAACCATTTAAATTACCCCATTCACGCCATTTCTTACTGCATTCAATCACTCAACCATTTTTAACACTCCAATTACATCAATCATATATTTACCTACTCACTTAATGCATTTACTTACTTACTTACTCAACCACTTGCCACTAATGCACTCATTTACCACTCACCTACTCACCCATTTTTCAATCTTACTTACTACTCATAATCCACTTACTTCATCACCCATATATACTAACCACTTACTTCACCACTTACTCTACTCTACTCACTTTCCATTCCAACCATAACCACTTACTCAACCTTCACCCACTCACCCATCGACCTTACTCCAATTCTACCACTTAAATCACTTAATCGCACTCATGCATTTCATTTACGCACTTACATATCTCATGCACTTACATATCATTTCAATCTACCCATTCACTTACTCAACCACCCACTTACTTACGCATTTAAACATATAATCACTTACTCAATTCACCACTTATCATAACCACTTTAACCCACTTCAGCTTTCCATTTCTACCCATCATTTACCACCATTTCTTAACCACGCATTTCACCACTCACTTCCATTACCCAATCCCACTGCTATATTACTCAATTATCGCACTCAACCACTTAGCTCCACTTAACTACCTTACTCACCTAACTACTCCACTTCACCCACTCACTCAACTACTTCACTCAATTTGGTACGCCATTTTACTGACCATTACTTACTTCCATCACATCTCTTAACTATCGCCTTTACTGGTCGCTTGCTTCCCTGCTTTCATTTCCATCACTCTTCCGTCGGGTCCCACCTAAATCTCTTTTCACTTCTCTTCCTTCATCTTTAAATCTCTTCAACCCATTCCTTCATCGCCTTTTGCCTTTTCATTTCCTTTGCCCTGTTCCACCTCACCCTCACTGTTTTGTTTTAAAATCGTTTCCCAAACTCCCAAAATCGCCCTGAAATGTGTATTTTATCCACCTTTATATTTTTTAATTTTAATCCATCCTTTATCCAACTACAATAACCATTATAAGGAAGTTCATTACCTTACTGAGGATGCCAGACAAGGAGCCTTGTCGGCTGTGACCGCCAACTCGGCGTCTCTTAGTGTTCTTCGAGAAAAGCTTGATACCTTCACAAATTCACTTACTAACAATCACGTTTTAACGCATCTTTGTTCCGGGCTTGAGACCTTTTTGGGTTACGAGTCTGGGAGTTACACCGGAGTAGGGATCGTGTACTCGGACCTTGACAGGCTGTGCGACGGGGTGATGTCTTTCCTTCATGGTGTTCTTGAGACTGTAAAAAATGATGATTCCGTCACAACTTATGATGATAAAGACGCTTCAAATAATATTACTTCAGCTATTTCCTTTCTTAACACTAATGTAGGTAAAGGCCGTCAGGCCTTCCGTGACGCCGTGCATCAGGTAAGTGAGTGGTTGAAAAAACATGGTGAGCAGGTGGAGGAGAAAACAGAAGATGTGAAGACATCTCTAACAGGATTAATAGGTGAGTTAAGTGATGATAAAATTAATAGATATGTGCAGGACGAGAAGGACAAGAAGCTGGAGGAGCAGCTGACGGACTGGCGGAAGACAGTGACTGACCTAGAAGGGCAGTTGAACACTATAGAAAACACAAAATTTAATTTGTTAGATGATGCATTGAAAAGTAGTGTGTTGTGTGAATTCGTGCCAGTTAAAAGTGTGGTAGAGCATATGCGAAAAGTGAGTGTGAGTGGTGCATTGTTTGAGCAAGCTCAGCAGGTGGACAGGGAATTAGAGCTGCGAGAAATGGAAATTAGGAGAGCTATCAACGCGGGGAGTGAAGGATTGCAGAAAAAATTGGAAAAGGAGTTTAGTAAAATCGGTAAGGGAATAAGGAATACAAAAGACACTAAAGAAGCGCAGATCAATAATCTCAGAAGTGTGATGTCAGAGGCCAAGAAGGAGGCTCAGGGATTGGTAGAGGTTTTTGAGAGTGAGTATAAAACTCCAATCGGCGAGCTGTTTAAAAATCTAAAAATGAAAATGGCAAATCTTGAAAAGGAACGCGGCAACAAAGAAAGAAACCAATGCCATCTTGAAATGGAATTCGAACACGTAACGTTGGCCGTGCAAAAGATAGAAGATGCGTACCAATCGAAATTGAAGAAGCTGAGAAAACAAATAGGTGTTGAACTTTCATCAAGGCTCAGGGAAGCAGTTAGAGGGTTAAAAGGTAACATAGAAACAGATTTAAAACGGTTGAAACAAAAAATAAGCAAAGAGATGAATAGCTATGTGACACAATATGTCAACGCGGTTAAAAGGGAACTCGGGTTCATTAAGGGGTATATTGGTGAAAACGGGAAAGGTGTTATTAATACAAATTGGAAAGTGCTTAAAGAGACGATTACGGAGCTTGTTGGGGAGATTAATGGTAGCGACGACGGAGATGATGGTTTAAAGGGAATTAGAAAAAATGTGAAGGACTATGCGAAGTTGTTTACCGAGACGAATTTTAAGGAGCATGTTGTACCCGGATGGATAAAAACGATTCTAGAAAATAACAAGAATGTAAAAGAATGCCTTTCCACATTTGTTACCAATAACGCTGGACAGTTGAGTACTGAATATAAGAACTCTAATGGGAACAATGATCTTACTGATGCTTTGAAAAAGAAAATGAAAGCATTTATTACGCAGCAGCTCAGCAGTAAACTGTCGAGTCATGTGACGAGGGACGGTGCTGTCTCCACCGATATAGAGAAGAATGTTAGAAAGATACAGACTGTCTGCAATGGTTTTGCACAAAATCTGGAGGGTGAATTGAAATCGCGTGCGTTTCTCCAAGGTATATACGGTACACTGGATAGTGATAACGTTTTTCGTACTACACCCAACAAAGCGCAGCTCAAAGTCGCCATCGAACACATCGTTGTCTGTTTGTCGCCTATTGCCAGGCAAGTTGCAAAAGCGCTTGAGAAGTTTACCATCACGAAAGTTAATGAATCGACGGTGACTACATTAAAACGCAGCGGAACAGCCGAAAAGATAACGACCTTCAATCTCGGAAGAAGCCTGGAGACGGCTATAGGGGGTATCGATCTAATAAAAAAAAGACTTGGCGACGGCCAAGGGCGTGAGCCAGGCGATGAAATTAATAGGGCGTTGAATGCAGTCGGTAAACAAATTATGGAGCTTCACAACAATCTCAACACGGCGACCAACCAATCCACGGGCAATCCCTCCTACACTCCCGGTACCCCGGCCACTCCAGCCGACAGACTGGAAGATAATATAAAGGGGATATTAAGTGGGAAATTCGAGAAGAGTGGTGACATAGACTTCGACGGTATAATGACGGCATACAAAAATGCAGTCGGGCAGGGGAGTGAGTACCAGAAGGCTATCGGTGGAATCGAGAAAGTTGTTAGCGAATCATTCGATAGCAATGGCGATTTGAAAGTGGATAAGATCCCAGGTTACATTCACAAAGACGTCAGTGAAACGGACAAGAAGGGTGCCAGGCCTGTATATGACGCTGCGGTTTCCTCTCTAAAAAACACAATCGATTATCTTGAAGCGTTACCCGGTGATGTTGACACAATGAAGAGCGTGGCGGAAAAGAAAATGACAGATTTGCTAGCTGCCATTCAGGAAATACAGAAGAAAATTTGGATTATCGAGGAAACCGTCAGTAATGCTGATAGACATCTGAACACTTATATCGAAGCTCTCCAACAAGCATTCTCCGAGGCTTATAAAGAGGCATTAAAAGCCGTTCAAGGTCTTCAAGAAACCCTCCTCCATACCACCGGACAAGCATTCTCCACCCTAACCGCCCAGGTGAAAAAACTCTTCGCCGACGGACACAAAGCTGATTTGGAATCCTTTAGAGAGTTATTCGAGGCGAAAATTGAAGAGATAAAAAAGATTATTAAGAAAGACATAAGGAACGGCGTAAAAGGTCTACTGAGGAAAATGAATGAAAACAACGGGCATTATCTAGGTGAGCTTAAGGTTGTGACTAAAAGTGAATTCCACAAGCTGTCCGCAACATTCGAGGAATATGCGGATAAAATTCTGGATTACATCGAATATCAAACTAAGGATCCAGAGGAACGCGAAAAGGAAACTGAGGAGTCCAAGAAAGTGAAGGCAATTAAAACCAGAATGGACTATTTACATAATTATCTAAAGTTAGTTCCAAATGCCGGTGCAATTAAGCCGTACAACTTGGATCATAATTCAGATGAATTGCTCGAAGAACTGAAGAAATCGGTAAACAATTTGGTATTCCCTAAATTTGCCGGACTCAGAAATCCGGAGCTGTTGGATGTAGTTAGGAGCTCAATGAATGCGTTTATTGCTGAGCTCACGAAGCAGTACGTAAGTGCGTATTCCGGCCAAACTATTATGTGGCAGGAAACGAAGGGGTCTAATCCCCCCAAACCAGAGCCCACAGAAAAGGCCATGAATTGCGCGAAAATAATATGCACAATACTTCCCATCTTAAACTCCGACTTAAACGTGGTGAAAGATTATTGCGACGGAAAATACATCCGGCGCAGAATCTACGCGTCTACTAAAGGCAATGAAAACCAGCTGGGTGACCACCTGAAGAGGTGCGGCTTTAAGGTGGCCTCTGGAAAGGATGAGCGGGACGGCGAGCTGCGATGCAATTTCAATTTCAGGGGCGTGCATATTTCTCGAGATCTCCTTGAAAAACGCATTCCAAACACATTTTGCGACGACCATCTGATAAAATGCATAGGAGACAAACAAGATAACTTTAACGTTATCGAACTCTTTGTGTGTTTAATAAAACACCTTAATGAATATTTCCGTGTTTCCCACCATTCCACATTCTCCGCAACTAAAGCACCTACAACCATCAACGAAATGCTCCAGTGGTGCTCCGGTTTGCGTTATAATTACATGTTTAGTAAAGTTTACGGTCACTTTAAGACATTATTCCAGAAACCTGAGGAGCACAAAAATGATGACTACTCCATGATTAATCCTATGAAGCTTCGGCTCGATGCTACTACAATCATCAACGCTACTAACCTGACCGACCTGCTCAGTTCAGTATGTTCCCAAGCCGAAACTGTATTAATCGCAATACAAGGTCACGGTCACTCTGCTGGTCGTTACGCTTGCGAGTTCAACAGCAACGAGGAAAAATTAGCGTATCCCGCTAGCCCTGCTGTCTGTTTCGATATCTTCCTAGACGTGTTGTATAGATTGATGCATCAACTGTGTTTCCTTTATAAACAGTGTAAGAATGGTCAGATCTATAGTGGTTGGAATAGGTGTTGGTATGGCAACCAAGTTGCCGGGTCCAGTTGGCAATGCAACACACTCCAATGCTCCAACCAAGATTGTGACCAAGCATGTAAGCAAACATCCAACCAAATTGCCAACCAAACACATAAGCAACGCTGTGACCAAATGTGTAACCAGCATCCTACTTGTGGCGTGAAATCCCCTTTGCAATCCTTCTTGGAGGATGGCCTACAGGGATTCCTGCCGCATACATTTACTAAACCCGGTTGTAAACTGACATGTACTGTGAAAAATCATCACGGTATTCCATGCGTCACTCCAATGGGCTTCACTGAAATCGGTATTAAAGCATCTCACAGGAAAACTGGCGAGCACATTGCGAGCGTACTTCGTGACTTCTGTGGTAAGCCAGAGTCGCCACTTGCTACACTGTGTAGTTTTATGACGTGCTTACTACAACGCACTCCGCAGACTTTAGGTGACATGTTCTCGTTCTACTATAATTTCCTTTTCGAGTGGGACGATAGCCGTCAACGCAATGACTATCGCCACAAGCACAGAAGTGGTGCCTTTAACAATGCTGTTACCAACGCCTATTTTGGTGAGACATATCCGAAGTTGGACATTACTCCAATCTTCAAAAGCACTAGTCACTCCGACAAGCATCTCAAAGGTGATCTCTTTAGTCTCACTGGTTGTAACAATGGCACAACCTCATCTCTCACTTGCGGCCATTATATGCAGCCTATGGGCTTATATACATGGAATGTCTTTTCAAATAAAAATTCCGGCAAATACCTCACGTCGGTTGTTTACCTGACACAGACATTTTACGATCTTCTTGAGCAACTATATAAGAAATGTTGCGACAATTGCAACAAGCAGGGAACCCGGTGCCATGATAAAAGCTGTGATAAGAATTGTAAAGTGATATATCCTGACGAGTCTAAGAAAGACGCTGAGGAATACGAACAAGAAATTGCTAGATATCAGAAATCAAGGCACGAAGCAAACTGCAATTCCATCGTCAAATGCCCATATACTCTTCAAACATTCTGCAGATATGGATTTTATTTCGAAAGCTCATGGAGATTGGACGGAAAGCAAAATAGCAAAAGTAAGCGCACATGTAGAGACCTATGCAAAGCATTGGGCAGAGTGCTGAGTAAACAGAAAGCAGACGGCGCACCGCTAGCCAAATTAATATACGAGACAATTCCAGATTACCTATGGAAAATCAGGGAACCATTCTCCCTGACATTGTTAGCCCTCTGGTCCCTCTCTTTGCTCTACCTGCTGCACATCGCCGTCGTCCGCCTCGACGTCCTGAGGATACGCTCCCACCTGAGATCACCCTCATCGCACCGCATCGCCGCCCAGTCGCTGCTCGCCGCCGCACGCGTTGGGAAAATAGTCAACGTCAAGTACTTCTCACCATAATCGTGCCTTCACCTGTGATCGGTGTATCACTCACCCACTCAACCACTCAACCACCCACCTAATCACTCAACCACCCACTCAAACACCCACCCACTCAAACACCCACTCAACCACACACTCAACCACCCACTTACCCACTCTCCTCCTCTTTCACTGGTCGCTTCGCTCCCTGTCTCCTCCTTCATCACCTCCTCCGTCGGCGTCCTTCACCCAGATCCTCATTTTCCACCTTTCTTTCTCCACCCCCAAATCCCCTCTCTCAACCCATCTTCCCCCTTCATCCCCCTCTTTCGCCCCTTCACCTCCCTCACTGCCTCCTTCGCCTAAAATCGCCTTTTCCCAAACTCCCCCGAATCGCCCTGAAAATGTGCCTAAAATAATCCTCCAACAACATTACTTAATAACCTCTGCACAGGCCTCGAAAAAGTTCTCGGCTTCCGTAATGGTAATTACACCGGAGAAGGAATTGTGTACTCGGACCTTGACAGGCTCTGCGACGGGGTGATGTCTTTCCTTCATGGAGTTCTCAGTGCAGTGAAGGATGATGATAACGTTACGAAATATGATAATTATCTTAATACAAATGAGAAATTGAATGATGTCCTTCAACATCTCCACTCTTCCATTGGCCAGGGACGCAGTGTCTTTGGTACGCAGGTTGGAAAGGTGAGTGGATGGTTACAAAAATATTGGATGCAGGTGAATGACAGGACTACAGGAGTGTCATATGAATTAGGTACGTTACTTAATAATTTATCATCTCATTCAGGTAAATATGTTCAAGATGTTTCAAGACAACAAGACAAGCCCCTCAAGGAGCAACTGACCAAGTGGACCAAGACAGTCACTGACATTAATAATCACATTAACAACAACATAATCACTAATGCTAATAAATTAGACCCCGCACTTAGCGATAAGATAACGCGTCAAATTGAGCCCGTGCAGAAGGTGGTGGCGCAGTTGGGGAGGGTGGCGAAAAATGATGCTGTCATCCAGCAGGCTAAAAAAGTAGATGACGAGTTGTCCAACCAAAAACAGATAATGTTGAATCATATAGATGGGCAATGTGATGTGCTCCTAGATATTATGAAAAATGAGCTTTTGATGGTTTCGAGGAAAATTCATAGTCTGAAAGATACTAAAACGGTGCAGATTCGGCGTCTCAAAGGACGTTGAATGATGCTCAGCATTATTTACGAAAAATTGATGTCGAATATACTGATACGATTCAAAAGCATTTTAATGAAATTAGCGGCAAGGTAACTGAATTGGATCCAAAAAACACGGATTCCGGTGCTTTCGATGATGAATGCAGAATACGCAGGGATGTTGTCGGTGTTAGAAGGAAGCTTGTGAGCATAGGGGAAAACTTAGAGATCTACATGGCAGACTTGGATAGATGGATGGAGGAAGCTAAAACAATTATTGATGCAGCGAAGCAGAATTATGCTGACAAAATACTCGACATAGCTAAGGGCGTCGCTGGAAGTAAGAAAAACATTATCCTTAATGCTGCGGATGAGGTAGAAGAGAAAATTGTTAGTCCACTGAAGGATTACATTCAAAAGGAGGTTATTGGTGAAATAACTAGGATGGTGGAAAAAGCCCAAAGCGAAGTGAACGCATTGGATGGGAAAGTGCGGAAGGATTTGGAAGACATAAAAACGAAAATAGATAATGGGATATGGGATTACATTGTACACTTGTCTAAAGCGGCAAAGGAAGATAATCTTAATGACATTGTCGATCAGCTGAATGTGAAAAGTAAATTGGGGGAATGGGTGTGGGAGATGTTAAAGGGCAACAGTGAACCTATGGCCTCAGAGATTGTGAAAGGTCTTAAAGCGTTTGCGCAGGGTGCGAATGGAGACAATATAAAACATCTGCTTACCAAGCCTTGTATTTTGATCTTCAGAAGAGATTTGCATCCGACGCTTTCAAGGCAGCTGATGCGTTTAGCACACACGTTAAAAATGTCATGAAAGAATATAATAAACACAAGGTGGGCCCGATCTCCTCAGCACTTGATGCCATTAAGGAGTATCCTAAGGTACTAAAGGTTGACGCAACTGCAAGCACCCTCCAGAAATTTTCCACGACGATTAAGGATAATCTCGACGCTCTCACCCTGGCGTTCTCCGATGCGGGTGGACATATCCGATCGAGTTTAATAACCCTAGAAAACATCAACATTAACAACAAACTTAATGGAATCAAAGAGAAAATTAACAGTCTTCAAAGTACCTCATTAGCGAAAGTCATCGAAGAAACCAACAAAACCATTTTTGAAAAAGTGAAAAAGCTCGAAGAAGTCCCCAATATCGTTGACACGAAAAGAAAACAGACGTTCCAGAAAATGCAGGAATTAAAAATGAACTCCAAAACCATCTCAATAACATTAAAGCGAACGTTGGAATTGCCTATCAAGAGTTTACAAAGGCCATACAAGCTGTTTTGGACAAATTGATTGAAGCCCACAAAAATGTCGAAAATTCGATTATAACCGTCAAACAGACACTTATTGACAAAACGGAAAATGCCTTCTCCACCCTCACCTCCGCCGTCCGCTCCCTCTTCTCCGCCTCCCACGCCGCCGACCTCCAGGCCTGCGCGCGCTCGTCGACCAGCAACTGCGGGAAGTGCAAAACATAATCGCGCGGGACGCAGTCACGGGCGTGAAGGGGATGCTGAAGTGGATGAAAGGCACAGGTGAATATTCTTTGGGAGAAATTCAAAAAATTGTTCCTACGCCAACTCAGCCAACTCTGACAGCGAAGGATCATTCCGGTAAGTTCAAAGACTTATCCACAAGATTTGAGAAATATGCTGATAAAGTTCTCGTTTACATCGAAGGACAAGTAAAAACGCCGAATAAAGATCCCTCTCAGGATCCGGAGTCTAATCCACAATCCGATAACGTCCACGATATTCAAGGCAAACTAGACTACTTACTTAACTATCTTAAACGTAACACATCTGGTAATTTAAGTAGGCCGTATAACTTCGATCATACATCTAATGAATTGCTCGATAAACTCAAGAAATCCATCTCCGCCCTCTCTCCAACTTCCACGGCTTCCACAACCCGCTGCTCTCGACGCACTCAGGCGCGGCATGACGCAATTCACCGAGCAACTCGGACACGCGTACGTAAACAAGCGGGAAAACGTTTGGTCCTTTGACAAAAAAAGAAAAGGTGGCTGACCCTTCGAACAAAAAAATCCGACGCCGCTACCACAACTGAGATAGATGTCCTCTCCACCGAGGGCCGCAACTGCGCCAAGGTCTGCCTGACCATACTGGAGGAGTTTTATGCAGACTTCAATACGTTGAAAGCGCACTGTTATACTAAAGGTGGTTGCTACAAATTAAATTAACACTTACGAGAAGAATTCACTTGGTGACTTCTTCCATAAAAGAGGATACGAAGTCAACTCCGAGAAAGGCAAGCAGGCTGGCGAGTTGCAAAAGATACCAAGAAGGGCACGCATATTAGTAGTGATCTTCTTATCAAGAAAATTACCGATGGTTCCACATTCCGATTATACAGGCGTGGAGGAAAACAAAATATCCAACCGTTACAAATAGCACCGAGATATCTCTGTTCGACTTTGTTGACTTCATACGCGAACTTCTTCGAAAGTACTACCAAGTATGCCAACTTGAAACATCATCATCGTCAACCAGGCCCTCAAATATCTATCAGATGCTGTGTTGGCTTTCTGGGTTCTACTTTAATCCGATGTACGAGAAGGTGAAGGAACAATTTAATGGACTTTTGATAAGGATATCAAGCAGTTAGCTGTTGTCGTACCAGACAGAGAGAAACACACAAAAACTGAAAATCTTAAAGCTAGTGATTTACACTCCACTCCAACAAGTTTGTTTGCGCTCGCAACTTACACTAACTGCCATCCTAGGTCACGGCCATCCTGATGGCCGTTACGCCTGCGATTTCCGCACAAACATCGATAATTTATTGTATCCATATGCTCCATCACAGTGTTTAGACATGCTTGTAGATATTTTTTGAAGAGAGTGTGTCAACAAACATACTCCTATACCTACAATGTAACAAACAGCCGTATTAGGGGTGGGCTGACTGCCACTATGGCAGATATGTGGGTGGTTCATCATGGGACTGTAATGAGAGACAGTGTCCCAACGAACAGTGTAACCTAAGACTAACCAACGTGCTGACCAAAGTGCTAACCAAGGTACTAACCAAAAGTGTAACCAACATCCCAAATGCGGTGTTAAATCACCCTTCAGTCCTTCCTGGAGGACGGCCTTCCAGGTTTCCTACCGCATACATTTACCACACCTGGCTGTAAGCTGACATGTTCCTAGGCAATCACTTTGGTAAACCATGTCTTACTCCCATGGGTTTTGCAGATATTGGTATTGTAGCCTCTCATACACAGAAAGGTGCGTACTTGGTGAACTCAAACATTTCTTGGTCCAGATTCTAAACTCAATAAGTTGTGTTCTTACTCAACTGCCTGCTCCGTGTAGCACCGCAGACGCTTGGTGATATGCTAGCGTTTTACCATAGATTGCTCAGGTTCTGGGGTGAACAAAGAAAATTCTGGTGCTTAAGAGTGTTGCATTTGATGAAGGTCCGAAAGGCCAACTTTAAACAAGGAAACAAAGTTGGACGTTACATTCATTCATCAATACGATAGTCATTCTAGCAATACGCATAAAAAAAATGGTGATCTGTTCAGCCTCATCATATGCAATAAAAAATGAGAATCCAGCTGTTCCCTGCGGTCCATACCTACAGCCTCTGTCTCTTGAATGTTGTGATACATTTTCCGGTAAGCACTCTGGTAACTATCTTCATGGGTTGTATATATAACAGAAACGTCTATGACTTTACTTAAAACTATATGAAGATTGTTGTGGAAAGTGCAATAAACCAGGCACCAGGTGCTACGACAAATGCTGTGATTCACAGTGCAAAATAAATTTTTCTTACGGCACTGGTAATATTCCCAAACAACTCAAGGATGTAATCATGAAGATGGATGCACATCCATTGTTAAGTAAAAAATATACATCCGACATTGTATGCATACGGCTTCACTTTAAAAGCCCACATGGACTGAGTGGTGAGAAAGGAAGGAAATGAAGCGCACATGTCAGGATTT